CCGGCAAGTGAATTTTCCTGCTTTGCCTTTTTCTGTTGTGGTGGCTTTGTGTCTGGTGTGTTTGGTGACAGTTTGCACAGGCACAGCACAGAAACACGCAGCTCAGATCCCAAACTTGAACGGGAAGTGCCAGTTCTAAATATCAAGTCCCATATTGCACACCTCATGTCTGCCTTTCATCATCCATCAAAATAGCAAGCGGAGCCCAGCACTCCCACTTCAGCATAAGCAAAACATGTGGGAACTCGAGGCAGTTAGTAGGAAAACGTGATACAGCCTTGCTAATAAAAGCTCCTGCTTTCCTCACTATGGAAAACAGTTGCAAATGGGTTTCTGCGGCCTGGGACTCGACTGCTGACAGCACGGTGACAGAATCGCTGTGCTTGGCTCTTCCCAGCCCTGCCTGCTGTGGTGTCCCTGCAAACCACCCAGCTCCAGGAGCAGAGGGAGCCCAGCACCATCCTGCTCTACCAGACCCTGCCCATCCTGCTCGGCGCTTCCCAACGCAAGCTGCCTGCACACTCGAAATAATTAAACCTTCAAACAGCTCCCCCATAGCACCAATTAAAGAGACAACCCCAGCTTTCAGAGAATTTATGACTCTCGGTGCTGTTGCCACAGGTATCCATCCACGTTTGTGCGTTGTTTAAAGAGAGTTTCAAAGGGGATCCGGGTTTGCCTCCCTCCAGGGAGAATCCATTTGCTTTGTTCACCAGACTATAACTTAAAATTTGTTACATGCACCGGCTTGTAAGCCTTTGAAAAACTCCCTGCTTCACCAGCTTCAAATGGACTTGATGAACTTCCCCTGATCAAAGCAGTTCCCTCACAGGGAGCCTCAGCTCACAAGCAAGGAAGCACCCAACAAATTTTGGGGGTGGGAATCACAGCACGGGCCAGGAGGGGACTCTCACTCCCAAACCCACCTGAGAGCCCAAGCAAAGAGGCCAACACACTTTGGCACAAAACATGAAGAAAAAGGCATAATTAGTTTATTTAAAAGGAGAGAAGAAAAAAAAAATTAGCAGAGGTTTTTCTTCTTGAGAGTAGAATAATTTGTCAGCAGGAGACCCCATGGCTCCTGTCCCATCAGGACCCAGTCCTGGCACCCCATAACATCTGGGATGGGAAGGGAGATGGTTGCACACCCTCCACACTACCCACAGGTGGAAGTACTGCTCGTGTGGTCCTCCAGGAGATGTTTTACCTCACACACAACCACGTGCCTTGGGTTTACTCCCTGCTCTGCAGAGCCCAAACCCCTTTGCTGGAGCAAAGGTGCAGCCGGCACGCACCAACTCTGCAGAAAACTCAGCAGCCACGAGGCCACAGCACAACTCTGCTGCCTCCGGCCACTCCCACTGCCTCAAAGTCAATTAAAATGGTCATTTCCATGTGAAATTCAGCCCCAGTGGTTTCCTGCTTGAGGCAGGGCTCGATGAAGCACTGGGAGGGAGCTTGCTGCAGCTCAGATTAGTCATTTATGAACTATGATACGACGGGGGACACGCTTTGAGATGTTTTGCTACTGCAAGTTACAAACATTTTTTGAAGAGGGGAAGGTGAACCCCTTTGAAGAGCAGGACAACAGGCATGGGCTGAGCACCCTGGCTAAAATAAAACCCCAGCAGAAAACAGCCCATGCTGGAAAACAGTGGTTGCAGCTCCCAGCCCTAGGAAGACCAACTTCCCGTGGTGACCTATATGTGCTATAAATGCTGCAGCCATGGGCTGGGTGACGTCAGCTCCATCCTTGTGGCAATTGTTGGGTCTCTCCTTGCCAAGAAAAGGCAAAGCGGAGGTGCTGAATTGTCCATGCGGCGGGGGAGCAAAACCAGTTCCTCCCCGGAGCATTTGAGGACAGAAATGAGGGAAACAGTGGCAGGGCTTAAAATAAAAGCAGGAGGCAAATAGGAAAGCAAAGGGATCTCGAAGCTGGAAGGTTTGCATGAACACTTGGAATTTTTCTGGCCTTGGGGAGAAAAAGGGGCTCCCATGGTAAAGGGGCCACCAGCAGCTTGGCCAGGGCAGTTACTAGAAACACGGAATTGTTAAGGTTGGAAAAAATCTTAGGATGTTCAAGTGCAACTGACAGCCCAGCACCATGACACCAAAGCATGTCCCCAAGTGTCACATCAACATCTGTTCTGAACACTCCAGGGGATGGTGATTCCATCCCTGCTCTGGGCGGCCAATGGTTAAAAACACTTCTGGTAAAGAAATTTTGAATTTGAAAAGGATTTTAATTTGGGACAATTTTATCGCTGTGATTGCCTTTTTCAAATGCTTCTGTTCCTTTATTTGCCAGTTGGACTCTGGAAGCAAAAATGTCATTTTGGCCAGGACTGATCAGTCAGTGCTTTGCTCCCTTCCCTCCTCACTTCCCTGGGGAGGAAAGAGCCTGAAGATAACAGCTCTTCTGGAGGGGAAAAAGAATAAAAGCTGCACACTGCCCCAGCATTTCCACAAGGAGATGGGAAGAGGGAGATCATGAACTTCCATGTCCAACACAATTACACCCAAGTCAGTGACTGGCTGCCATCCTGGGGGAAGAATAAACACCAATATTTCTTGGCACACAAGACAACATCAATTTGTTACCTTGAGGTTACCACAACAAGCCCAAATAAAGAGATCCTGACACTGTGGTGCACAGCACCGAGCTAAGTCTCAGACATACCAGTGTTTGCTTCTCCTTTGCAGGCAGAGGGGAAATGCTGCACTGCCTTCACTGCTGGTCCAGGCCCCTGACTGAGAAGTGCTCAGAACACATGTGGCACATTAAAGAAGAAGCCCAGACCTCCCTGCATGGCAAGATTTAGAGTGATCACCTGCAGGTCCTGGTTATGGTATGGCTGTGAGGTGCTCTGCCCCCTCTGCAAGCCCAGATCCCCAAATCCAAGGACCATCTGCTCTCCATTCTCTGACCACATCAAGGTTAATGATGACTCCAAACCAAATTTTGAGCTGGATGACTGCCTGTGTCTTGGAGGATGAACTACCTTGGGGGATGACCAAGGCCAGGTTGGAAGGGGCTTGGAGCAGCCTGATCTAGTGGAAGGTGTCCTTGCCCATGGCAGGGGGTGGAAAAAGATGAACTTTAAGGTCTCTTCCAACCCAAAGCCTTCCATAATTCTGCAATTCTAACTAGTACCTGATTGCATCAGTGAATAAAGCTAAACCAACAAACCAACAGTCCTTGAGAACAGCCTCTTGCCATTTTCTAAGGCCTTGTTTAGACACCTTGGCTCCTTCTAACAGGCAGAGCACAGCCTTCTGCATGGCACAACTCGCTGATGTCTTACTGCAGTTATTCACCCACCAGCAAAATGCCAAAGAGACAGGAGCAGGAAGAAGTCCCAAAGCTGACACTTAGATGAAATTTGTCCCCTGAACTCCAGGTAAGGCCAAGGATGGCTGACCAAGGGATAAATCTGCTGCTGGAGCAAAGCTCTTGCCCTACAGCCAGCCCTGAGCTGCATTCCCAAGGCAGGATGCCTGCAGCAGGATGAGGGAGCCTCTGCTGTGTCCGAGGCTGGGACAGCAGGGATTGTGCAACGTCCCTCAGTGCAGTTGTATAACATCACTGCTCTGTTTTTATGAACTGCTCCCAGTCAGGCTCAGAGAGCAGCAGCCCAGAGGAAGGGTGGTGTCAACATTACCTTTCACTCACCCGAAAGAAAAGAAGGAGTGAGGGGAGAATCAAAGATTTGGTGTCGTTTGGGCTGGAGGGGGGTCTGGCTGTGCCGCAGGGCCCTGCTCCAACCTCTGCTCCTGGCCAGCACCACGGAGCTGGCAGCCAAGGCAGGCTCTGAACAGGAAACGGGTTAATGGGAGCTCCTGCACTGCTCTACTCCCCCCAGTGTGTAGCACGTCTTTTGTGGATTATTTTAACAGCAGAAGGCACACAAGGAACACTCGCTGAAGAGATCAGCTTCCATCTGGGCTAACCCGAGAGTTTTCTCCCCTCCAGTTTCCTCCAGCACCCACTCAACAGCTTCCCTCCCTGCAAAAGTGTTTGCTCAAAACCATCTTGACACACAGCTAACCAGCTCAGTCTGAGAGCATCACATTTGCCTCGTCCAGGAGGCAGGAGCAGGGCAGGCCAAGGCAGGGCAGAGCTCCCACCCTGCTGCTGCAGGTTCCCCAGTGCCCCACTGGGGCATCAAAGCTGCTCTCCAGAAATCCCAGCCCAGTTTCTGGGATACTCCCAGTGTCACAGCACAGCCAGGAGTTTCCCTGCACAGCTGGAGCCAGCCCAGGGCAGGGAAGGTTGAGTTTTAATCATACACAAAGTATTCAGCAAGAAGGGCAGATCAGCTGAGCTTCCCTCATGCCAGGGGCTGTGTGAGCCCTGCCCAGAGCAGCTTCCCTGGGCATTGAAACCCTGGCCCAGCACTGTCCAGGAATTCTCCCTGAGCCTCAAAACAACCAGCACATTTTCAGCCTCCAATTGCAGCCACTTCTCCAGCCCACTCCTCCCCACTGCCCTGCTCTCAAAGCCCTTGGATGTCAGTATCCCTGGTCCCCTCTTGGCACCCTGGAGGGCTTTGCAAGATGCCTTTGGGAATGCTGAGATCCCACCCAACAGCAGCGAGCTGCTGGAGGGGCTGCATGGAGCAGACCCCCAAACTGAGCCAGGAACGAGCCATCACCACCCCATCTTCAGAGGGAAACAGCAGAAGTCTTCCAGGGCAGTGCAGACACATCTAAGCAGCTTAAAGAGCAACCCTGTCTGCTCCAAGGCTCCTGGAACAGTGGGACAACAACCTCCAGCTCAGGCAGCAATGTCTTAATGGGAGACAGCTCAGCAAAAGCAGCTTTGCCCACCCAGAGACACATGGAGCAACAAGGAAACCATCCAAAGAAACAGCAGCAGAACACCACCAGAAAAATCCATCACCAAAATACAGAACCCCCTCCCCTACGGCATCTCTGGAACCAAACACAAATTTATTGCAAGAAACATTATGGTATAAGGGGGAAAAAAATGACAGTACCTGATCCTCCAAACTGAGTGCTCGCAAGGGTCGTGGGTCTGTTTTTTCCATTAGCCACTGGCAAGGGAAACATCTAGAAAAACAAGGAGATGAGAGAGAAGGGAAAACAAAAGAGATTTCAGTATGTTGGTTTTACTGTGCTGCTGCAGAGGGGTCACACTGGGGGAGGGGAGAGGGAAGGCAGCCCGTTATTGATGCAAAAACCTTTCCTCGTGTCCCTGCTCCATCACTCAGAGGGGCAGGAGGGAGGCACAGCCCTGCTCTCACACACACCCCCACGTGCACAACCCCTGCTTCTGCAGGGGCAGCTGGAAACCAGCCGAGGAGCATCCCTGCCATGGGCCAAACCAACAGTTTCATCTCAAAATTGCTCACACTGGCTACAGGTGAGCCCTGGGGAAAGGCCGACTCCATTAATAAAAAGCCAGCAGGATAATGACAGCAAAGCTATTTTATCCCTCACTATCCCAGCCCCACAGGAGTCCTGGTCCCATCCCACACCTCCACCACGTGCAGTGCCTGGGCACAAGGGCTGCCTGTGGGTCCGGCTGGATGGGCAGGGAGGGCTCTGTGAGCCCCCAGCCTCACACTGCAGCTCCCACCCTGCTGCTCTGGGGGCTCCAGCAGCACCAGGACTGACACAGCCCTGGGGCCTGGGGAGAGGAAGCTGCTCCAAGGGCACCTATAGTTACTCATGGTTTAAAAAATTAATATATTTCACAGAAATGGTCGCTCTGGGGACTTGTTTGCTCTATCAGTACAGCTTCATTATCACAACTGAGCCTCTCCTGCCAGGAGCTTCCTCAAAAACACACCTCATCACCTAACCTGTATAAATATTTTTAATAAAAGTTGGGAGAGTTTCAGAGGCTGCTATTTAATAATTTACATGCACCTGTGTGCAGCAGAAAAGAAAACTAATTCTCCTGCACACAAATGGAGCTCCAGCCAATAAAACAACTGGTGGGAAAACGCTTAGTGAATTAACATTTTAATATCCTTTTTCTACTCAAGATACTTTCACCACCAAGTCATTTGAATTTTTATTATTTTTAGCTTTGTAATGTCTGACTAACTCAAAAGTTTAATGCTTTGAAGATTAAACAATGTAATGGCACAAGAGCCTACAGAAAGGCAGCGTTTCATGCCCTGACATAGCTGATGTCTGGCTGTGGTCAGAAACATTCTTTTGTACAGAACCGTCTGCCCAGCTTTGTTTTCACAAATGCTGGGGAGGAGAAAAAACCCAAGAAAAAACAGTTAAATGTGATAGAGATGCAAAGAGAGTAGTTAAGGAACCAACTGCCATTCATAAAGAGCACAAATTTGGGATCATATATATGCATGCAGGGTGTAGATGTTTTATACAGGGATTTAAATGAAGGTGTAAACAGTGTTTAGTGCTCATCCCAGCTGCCTGCACACACCTGCCCTCACCTGCCTGCACATGGCCCCCTGGCCCCCTCAGATGTGCCCCGAGGCTGCTGCTCACCCCAGGGGCTCCCGAGGTGTTTGGGGTGGCCCAGCAGCCCCACCATCGGATGAGCTTTGTTTCCTCAGGAAGTTGGGCTAGAAAATAAAAACAAACCCCAAAGACTGCAGCTCACCTTCCTCTGCACTGCTGCAGGGCTTCCCTGTGCCCCCCTCCCCCTTGTAGAGCAGGAGGGGGGCTCTGCAAACATCTCCAGTAGGGCTAAAAATTAAACTTAGGTGGCTGATCCCACCCTGCCTGCGCTCACTCCCTCTTCTCATGGCAGGGAAGAAGATCGAGATCAAACTCCCTTTTTGCCAAGTGGCAAGGGGCAGGTCTGCATGTGTGAGCAGGGGGGAAGGGATGCACCATGAACCAACCAGCAAAAAGCACACTCATACACAAAAAAACAAAAAAAAACCCAAAAACAAAAAACCAAAAAACCTAAAAAAAACCACCAAAAAACCAAAAACAGCCATACAAAAACCCCCAAAAAACAGCACTGCTGGCTCTTTTCATGAGCATTTCTGCTCAGCACTTGCTGAGGCTGAAAAACACAAGGTTTGAGCAGCAAACGTAAGTGCAGAAAAGGAACAGCCTTGTTCCATTGTGCACCCAGCACCTTCTGCTTCTGCAGAACAGGAGTGCCCCCTCAGTGACAGCAATGCCCAGCACCCCCAAAACACCCACACAGAGCCCGGGGAACCCCTCCCCTCCTCCAACTGCTTGGAGAGAGATTTTGAGGCTGATGCAACACCTTCCTGCTCTCCCTCCCCAGGGGATTTAGTAGTCACGGACCCCTTCCTGCAGCAGGGCAAGTAGAGATGCTAACGTACAGAATCCTGGAATATCCTGAGCTGGTTGATCCCAAGCCCTGTCCCTGCCCAGACACCCCAACAACCCCATCAAATCCTCTCTGAGCATTGCTGAGAGCGCTGTCCAAACGCTCCTGCAGCTCTGGCAGCCTCGGGGCCGGGACCATTCCCTGGGGAGCCTGGGCAGTGCCAGCACCCTCGGGGGGNCAAACGCTCCTGCAGCTCTGGCAGCCTCGGGGCCGGGACCATTCCCTGGGGAGCCTGGGCAGTGCCAGCACCCTCGGGGGGAAGAACCTTTCCCTGAGCTCCATGCCAACCCACTGACACAACCTCATGCTGTCAAACAAGGGTGACAGAGTGCAGGGAACCCCAGGTTACCCCTCCACACCTATCACTTGCCAACCACAGGAGGCGTTTTGGGCTTTTTTCTTGCTCCCAGCCTCTTTTTCCACTGTGGTGTGGGCTGAAGCTGCCCCAAGGAGCCCAGCACAAGTCATACATGAAGTGCCTTCACTGGCGTGTGCTGCTCAGAGGCAAAGTTCATCCACCCACTGCAAATTTCCTTTCTGCTTCTAAATGCTGCTTTAAAAATAAACTAGGGGGAGGGAGGAGATGAACCGGAGCTGGCACCTACCAGGGGACCCAGGCATTGAGGGACCCAGGCATGAGCTCTCAAGAGCTGTAATTGGGTCATTACTTGGCCTATGTTAGATTTGAATAATGTAGATTTAAACGGTTATGTAAAATCCCCTATCTTAAGTTGCTGTACTTGGTTTTTCAAGTCCTATCTCCAGCCTCCCTGAGGGGTGACAACAACTTCTTCGTTCCCTCCTAGCTTGACTTCCACCCTTTCCAAAGAATTTATTCTCCCTTCATTTCTCACTGGGTAAAAGAGGCAAATCCAGAGCATGAGAAGATCCAGATGCCTGCACCCTCCCCTGAGGAGGTTATAGCCAAGAGACCTCACACTTCATACAGCAAACTCCTAAGAAAGAAAGGGAATTTGCCAGAAACGAGGAACATCAAGCAGCATGTCATTTTTTTGTGCACATCTAGAAGTGCACCTCTTTTCAAATTAAATCAGTGCTCATTCTCTCTCCTCTCCCACCTGATAAACTCCAGGCTGAACCAACCTCAGTCCTGAACTCCAAACCTTAAATCTATTTTGCAGCATGGAAAGCATCCAGCTGTTAATTCGGGGAGAAGAGGGAATTTGACTCAAAATACATTGCCAGCAGGACATTTTATACATGTTCACTTAAGACAGACCTTCCTGACTACAGCCCCAAGTGCCCACTGCGTGTGCAGTCAAACTTTAAACTCCACAGCTGCTTCACTCTGAACAAAACTCAGAGTTTTATCATGGAAATGCAGGCGCTGGACCTTGGCCGGAGCAGGGCACGGCTTCAGCATCCTGCAGCAGAGCAGCAGAGCTGCTCCAGCCCTGCTTGCTGCCAGCACTTGGGCTCCCACCCCCGGATCCAGGGCTGGAGCCGCGAGAGCCGCGGCGCAGCGGGAGCAGCGATGAGCGGCAGGTCCTGTGTGACTGCTCAAGCCCCTGCCCACCCTGCACTGAGCCAGAAACCCCCTCTGCCAGGCAGCTCCCGCAGCATATGGTTAATACTCTGCTAATAATCATGGCTGTTAACAGCACCTCGCTCCTGCCAGAGCCCCCGGCTGGCACTGGCACGCGGCCGCTCCCAGCTCGGCTGGCACTCGGTGGCACCGACACACCCAGGGCTGCTCTGCTCCCCTGTCCCCTGCCTGGAGTGTCCCTGTCCTTCAGAGCAGCCCAGCCCAGCCCAGCCAGGACACCTGTGCGGCACCTTCCCACTGCACACCAGTGCCAGCACAGCTGAGACACTGCCTGGGATAACCAGCAACCACGAAAAGTCCTAGAATCCTGGAATATCCTGAGCTGGAAGGGACCCCCAGGGATCATCAGCCCAGCCCCTGTCCCTGCCCAGACCCCCCAACAGCCCCACCCTGAGCAGCCCTGAGAGCGCTGTCCAAACGCTCCTGCAGCTCTGGCAGCCTCGGGGCCGGGACCATTCCCTGGGGAGCCTGGGCAGTGCCAGCACCCTCGGGGGGNCAAACGCTCCTGCAGCTCTGGCAGCCTCGGGGCCGGGACCATTCCCTGGGGAGCCTGGGCAGTGCCAGCACCCTCGGGGGGAAGAACCTTTCCCTAAAATCCAACTCCTTGTGGTTGAGCACCTCCCGACAGCACAGGCCAAGGGCAGCTCCACCCATACACCGCCTGTGCCCATCAGGCTGAGCTGCAAAGCCTGGCAGCCACCAAAGCCCAGCCTAATCAATAGGCTGAGCTGCCCACTCGGGTCTATAGACAGGATGTTTTCTTGAAAGCTCCACTCCAGATTTGCCAGCCCATCTGGGCCTGCTGCCAGGGAGTAGTGGTGAAGGCAAGCTTACAAATTACCTGCACTTTGGGGCAATTAGAAAAGGCAATTTATCAGCTGCCGTGCACACCCCAAAGCATCACTGGGCCTTTCCTTTGACTCCTGCTCACTTACAGATTCCTTTGATTTTTACCCTTTTTGGCAAATTACAGTGGCACTAAGCTTTTGGTGAGTACTTTGGAGTTCAATATCAACCCAATGGATTTATTTATTAAAGAGTCCCTTCTTTCAGGACTGCAAGCCCAGTTTGCAGCATCGCACACAACCCTGTCATTTACTGACCCCAGGAACTCATGGCAGGCTATGCCACCCCCTTAGGGCCTTAAAATTCCCTCCCTGCACAGCAAAACACATTTCAGGGCTGGACCACAGACTGCTGGGGCTGAACACATTTTCCCAAAAAAAAGGAATCAAAATACTGATCTGAAGCAAATGCTTCCAGCTGCTCAGAGTATCTCTACTTTTCCCTCCCCTCTACTCTCCTGGAGAGGATTACTGAACCAATGCTCCACTCCTGTTTATTCAAAGAAAAATATAAATACACTTGAAAGAGCAAGCTTTGTGGTTAAAAATCCTGTATCCCAAGGACACAGGGAGAGCAAATCATGGAGCACCTCTTCAACAGACCCATCTACTGTCTAGGAAGCTTTTCCATTTCAGCTCCTCATCCTTGAGGAGAGCTGTTAATATTCCCTTTATGCAAAGAGAGGAGAAGGGTGTGCGGAGATGAGGGTTTGTGAAACAGAGCTGGCTGCAGGCCAGGCTGCGCCGGAGCCCATCGGCCAACGGATCCTGCAGGGAACGTCTTCAAGTCATTTGCTGGCAAATGACATTCACAGGCCCTGGTACTGTGAGCAGCAACCGCCAGCACCTCCACACCAGCCTTGGAGGAGCACAGGATGAGCTCTGGCCCTCCCCAGAATTATGCCAGTGGAAGAACGTTGAATCCAAACCCAAATTTAAGCTTTTGGTGTGGATTCACCTCCAAGGACAGAAACATTTGTGTACAGAGGGACCAGGTCAAGATTCCTCCTGGGAATACAACTCTAGGCATGTAAATGAGGATGGTTGGTTAAATTGGAAAATAAGGTCTTGGGTTTTTTTTAGAGCTCTAAATGGTGAATGGGATTTGATTTTTTTTTTTTTCCAAGGAGGAAAAAAAAGCGAAGCGGGAGCTGCTGCAGCCCCTGTCAGGGAGCAGATTCTGGGTTACTGACCCAAAGTGCAGTTGATGGAAAGCCCCAGGGCTCCTGCCAACCTGCAGGATCTCTGAGAGGGACAAATAACCACAGGAAGCCCTGAACAGATTGCTGGTTTTACAGGGATACCATCACTGCAGTCCCTGTACCCACTTTAAAATATTCTACCAGAAAAGCCCATTACCAGCAATTTAACTGGTATGACTACTTCACTCAGTAGAAGTATGAAACTGGGAGAACTGCACCTCTCCTGCCAAATTGCTCTTGGGGGGCTGAGAGACACTCCCCCAGCCCCTCCAGCACAGAGGTCTGTCAGGACAGGTACAACCCCCAGCTGTAGAAAAAGGTTTATTTCCCAGGGCTGAACCTCAGCATGTGGATGCAGAAAAGCAGACGAGCCTTAGCACACTCACAGGTGTCACAGCCACTGGGACAGCAGGTGACCCTAGCTCTGCCACCACTTTTTGTCCCTTCTCCTCCAAGGGGCAGGAACATCAGCCCAGCAGGGCTGTGGGCTGGGTGACCCAGGCTGGGGTGACTCTCACGGACATTCCCCCTCCTGGAGCTGTTGTTTCTATCTCTGCAGCACGTTTGCTTATCTCGACAGCAAGACACACACTTTGAGTGCCATGAGGGTTCAGCACACAACAGAGGAACCCAACAGACAGTTATTTCCCTTTGAACACCAGCTCTGCCCTCCACGAGTCACCTGCCAAGGAGAGGCAGCACCGCTGGCAGTGCCACAGCGGGATGTGCCAGGGACTAACCCCGCTCTGCTGTGACTAAAGGGACTTCTCCTCCCTCTGAGCTATGCACACTCTTCGGGGGGAACTCTTAGGTCCTGTTTCTTTGAAAATAAACAGCTCCTAAATGCAGCTCAAGGTTTCCAGGATACAGAAGAGCAGAGCATGGGGAGCACAAGTGTCCAACTCCTGCAAAAATAACGCGCTGGAGAGCTTGGACACGTTTCAAACTGTGACAAAATAACCTGTGGGAGCAAAAGTTTAATAGTCTGGATCTAGGGAGAGGAAAAAGCTTGATTAATCAGCTACTGAAGTTACATCTTTGCATGGCTGCAGAAACAGTCACCCAGTGAGCATTTAAACAGAGAACACACAACTCTGTTAATTCCCCCAACATTTCCCATCCAGAAAAGAAACCTCTCTGCCTTCCCTGCAAGGGAACAACACACGTTTGAGGGGAAGAGTGGGAGAGGAGGGGCAGAGGCTTTGCTTTAACTTGAAAATAAACAAGTTGCAGCACATGTGCACGCACACAAACACGGCACATCTGAAAGCCATCATGTCCAATTTACAGGCTCACATTTCCTCCCCTGTGCAGCTCCCAGCCCCGGGGCTGCGCAGCCCCCCGGCCGCGCTCGCTCACCATACTGAAGTCCAGCAGGTCACTGAGCTCTTTGTCTGTCCCAACTGCAGCCATTCTCTGCTGCTGCTGATTCATATTCCCACAGACTCAACAGTGGCAGTCCTGCAGAAAGCGAGGGGGAGGGGAGAGAGATATTTTAATGACTACAGCAAACTACCCACCCCATTGATGAATATTTTAAAAAGACAGAGTGGAGGGGCAAGAAAAGAAAAACCCTGAGAGCGTCGGCAGCGTCCAACTCCGGGGCCAGAGCACAGTCGGAGTCCTCACACAGCACCCAGCGGCAGGAACAAGCGTTCCATTGACCAGACACACTTGTATGTTAGTTTTTTGCTGCCAATTCCACTAGTTCAGGCCAATTCTGTTCCTGGCGTGTGGCGAATGAAGGGGGCAAAAGAAAAAAAATAAAAGGAAAAAAAAAGAGTCAACTCATTTATCAAAGGGTTCAGGCAAGTTATCACTCAGGCGCTTGTCTGGCTCAGCTCGCCCCCTCGCCTTCCCCCACACTTGCTCCCCGCAGGAGGCTCTCTTGTCCTTGCGAGTTTTGTTTAAAAAAAAAAAAAACTAACTGAAAAAGAAAAAAAAGTCTGATGTTACAGCTCTTTCCTTCGGGTCGCCGAGCACCTGCAGCTGCTTTTTCAGGGGCTGTGTTTGGGGATGCCCAGCCAGGCTGTGCTCAGTGAGAACTGAACCTCCTCACTCCCAAAAGGGGCTGGAAACAAAAAAATTTTGTTTTCGGAGTGTTTTTGCAAAAATAAAGCCCTCCAGGCAACCTTGCAAGATAGGTAAATATTATTCTTCCTAATTTTACAGATTATTTTTTTTCAAAAGGGAGATTGATCTTTTTGGCCAGTTTGCTATGATAGAAAAATATTTCTTTGGGAGGGAGGAAGAGAGGCCTGGGATGAGATAAAAGATTCCTTTTTTTTTTTGGCCTTTTTTTTTTTTTAGGAACTCATTCATGGTTACAAAGGGCAGCTGGCCAATAAATTTAACTCATTAATCATAAGGTCAAAAAAAAGAAGTAAAAAAAAATAAAAAGAAAAACTCCACACGATCCAGTGTTTGTAGGCTCAGCCACTACATTTCAATGAAGTTTCACAAAAAAAGGCTGAAATCAGCCCAGTGTGTAAAAAGCCTTCACCACTATAAAAAACAGCACGGGAATTTTCTTTTATTTTTTTCTCTATATTTATTTTCTTTGAAAAGTATTTTCAAAGTGTCATCAGTGCATCTGGTCAGTGTTTTTCAAGCCACTTTTCCACCTTCTGCCCCGGCGCCTCATGTGGGCTGGGGGAGATGAGACCCCGAAGAACCCGTGCAAGGAGGAGGGTACATCTCTTCCCAGCCCCCAAACCCTGCACCCCCGAGGCACCCGGGGACAACGTGAACAAAACCCTTGGCCGCCCCAAAGCCGGGCTGGGAGGGTTATTTTTATTTATTCCACGCACACTTTCTGACCCCAAAGCAGCCGCGGGGCCGGGGCGCCGGGCCAAGACCCCCTCCCAGATATCTCCGCACCCCCGGGGTCCCTCCGCAGCCCGGACAAAGGCTCGGCTGCCCCGGGACGGGCGCGGGCCGGGGGTGAAGTTGTTTGCGGCACCCCACCCGCGACCCCCGGGCCGTAGGGAGGGGGGTCCCGGCTGGCAGCCCCCGCCCAGAGCGGGGAGCGCAGGAGGGCGAAGCGGCCCCCACGAGCCCCCTCCCTGCCGGGGGGAATCCGGAGCTGCCGCCCCCGCGCTGGTCCCGCGGCTCCTGCAGCCCCCGAGCCGGGAAGGGGCTCAGGGACCCCCGGGAGACCGCGGCGGGCCGGGGGCGGCCGGCGGGCTGTGCTCGGCCGAAGTTCGCAGCGGGACCGAGCACCGGGCCCCCCTCCCCGGCACCCCCTCCCGGTGGCCCGTACGCCCCCCGAGCCCGAGCCCGCCCCGCCGCTGCCGCCCCCCTTCCCCCGGCCCCGGCAAACTTTGCCGAGGGGACAATAGCGCCGAGCCCGTCCCGTCCCGCTCCGCGCCCGCACCCCGAGCGCTCCGAGCCCCGCCGCGCCGGCTCCCCCAGCCCCGGCACCCCCGCGCCCGCTGCGCCGGGACCCCCGCTCCGCGCAGCCCCAGGGTGGCGCGGCCGCCTGGGTTACTATTTTATTATTTCTGCGTTTTATTTTGTTTTTTACCTGTTCCAGGCCCGGCGCGCCCGGGGCAGGGGAAGCGCATGAAGGGTGTCGGGGGTCGCGGCGGGGGCGGGGGCGGCCGCGGCGCCCAGGCCCGGGGGCGGCGGCGGCGCCTATTGTTCTCCGCCGCCGGCGGATACAATGTAGCGAAGCGGCGCGATCGCCCCGCACCGGGCGGCGCGTGCGCCCCGGCCCGCCCCGCGGCCCCGCCCCGCGCCGGGCCGGGCCCTAGCGCTGCTGCTGCCGCCGCCGGGGCCGCCGCTGCCGCTCCGCCTCCCGCCGCGGTTCCGCCCGCCCGCCCCGCGGTCCCTGCATAGTTCCCCGCGCGGCGGCGGCAGCAGCAGCGACGGCGGCTCCCCCCCGCGCCCGCCTCTGCCGCCTCCCCCCCGCCCGCCCTCACGACTCGCGGCCGCACGCCCCGCCCCCGCCGTATCGCTCCGCCGTCCGTACAAACAGCGGGGAGCCGAAGTGGGGGGTGGGGGGTGGTGCCGCCGCCACGCGCGCGCCTCGCGGGACCGGCAGGCGCGCGGCCGCGCCCGGGGCGGCGGAACGGGGCCGCGGCGGCGCGGCGGGGGCACCGCCGGGGCGGGGACTACATTTCCTAGCGGAGGGGGATGGGCGGCTGAGGCACGGCCGCGGTGACGACACCGGAGCTCCGCGAGATGGACTGATAAGGCAGCGGGGCCCCAGCCAATGGAAATGCCGCGTTGCTGTGATTGGCAGCTGGTGCGGCCAACCGGGGCGCGGGCAGCCGCGGTCGCCGCCCGCCGAGCGGGGGGCGGGCCGGCGGAGGCGCTGGGTGCCGTGGCCGCCCTCAGCTCCCCCCGCGGCGCCGCCGGGCCCGGCGGGCAGGGCGCGCGGCCGGGCTCCCGGGGGTCCCGCCGCCGAGCCCCGCCCGGCAGCTGCTGCCCCGCAGCCGCCGCCCCGGAACCCTCGCCGAGGGGCCGGAGGGGCCCGGCGGGACCTGCGTGGCGGCTGAGGCCCGGCCGCGCCGCCCGCTCGGGGGCCCCGGGGCACCTTCCCCGCGGCCGGGGCTGGCGGTCCCGGCACAGCGCAGCCCCGGGGCGGGTGGGGCCGGGCCCGGGAGCGCCCGGGCCTGGACCGGCCTGCGCGGATGGGACTCAATCCCGGACGGGCCCTGCACTGCAGTGGGGCTCGGGTGGAGAGTCCGTGTGTGACATCCCGGAGTCACCTCGGAGCGGGGTGCGTGAGGAGAGGCTTCAGGGGTCTCGTTCCACCCCCTGCCATAGGCAGGGACATCTTCCACCATCCCAGGCTGCTCCCTGCCCTGTCCAGCCTGGCCTTGGGCACTGCCAGGGATCCAGGGTGGGCACCCTGTGCCAGGGCCTGTCCACCCTGCCAGGGAACAATTCCCAATTCCCAATCTCCCATCCAGCCCTGCCCTCTGGCAGTGGGAGCCATTCCCTGGGTCCTGTCCCTCCATCCTTGTCCCCAGTCCCTCTCCAGCTCTCCTGGAGCCCCTTCAGGCCCTGCCAGGGGCTCTGAGCTCTCCCTGGAGCTTCTCCTCTCCAGGGGAGCACCCCCAGCTCTCCCAGCCTGGCTCCATGGCAGAGGGGCTCCAGCCCTGGCAGCATCTCCGTGGCTCCTCTGGCCTGGCTCCAGCAGCTCCACGTCCTCCTGCTGCTGTTCCCCAGGCTGGGGCAGCTCTGCAGGTGGGGTCTCACCTGAGCGGGGCAGAGGGGCAGAATCCCCCCTCCCCTGCTGCCCACGCTGGGCTCAGCCCAGCCCAGGGGGGCTCTGGGGTCAGTGCCCATGGCCGGGGCAGGCTGAGCCTCTCACCCACCAGCACCCCAACCCTCCCCAGGGCTGCTGCTGATCTGTTCTTTATCCAGCTTGTGCTTTTGCTTGGGATTGCCCTGACCCATGCAAGAACATTGCACTTGAACTTGTCAAACTTCATGATTTTGGCACAATCCCACCTCTCCAGCCTATCTAGGCCCCTGTTGTTCCCCATCCCTTCTCCCCAGCATATGACCCCACAACACAACTCTGTGTCACCCAGTGCCCTGGATCCCACTGTCCGTGTCACCCATAGAACTCCACTCCTCCCCAACCCATTTCCTGCCCACTTTGCTGCTGCAGCCAGTGCTGGCACTTGGAAGCAGCTGGCAGATGCTTGGTGTCAAAGGTGCCAGTGGGACTGTAGAATGTGTGTCTGCCTGGCCCTGTGGGGTGTGGGAGTTTATATTGTTCCCCAGGGTTGTGGGAGCTGCTTCCACCACCTCTTCTCCAGTGGGTTTTGGAGGAGCTGGGATTCGGTATGGAATTCAGTATGGAGAGATGGTGCTTTGCCCAGTTACACAAGGTTCAGGAAGTGCAGGAGCAGAGGCACAAACACATGGTTGCAGCAGGTGTGGGCAGGGGTTCACCTCCTCTCCCTTCATCCACCCTGGATCCCAGTGCAGGGATCTTGGAAGAGCTGTGCTTTTCTCCCTGGCAAAAGCTGCTTCTCCTGCCCTACCCAGGCAGCTCCAGGCTCATCTGTCAGCAGAGCTGGTCTGGGTTTCCCTGTGCCTGACCCCTCTGCAGCCGGATCTGGGGCCAGCTGTCACCTGCAGCTTTGGGCCATTTGGCTTTTATTTTCTTTTTTTTTTTTTTTTTTAAGTGCATAGAATTGCCTGCATTTGAATGGGGTCACTGACCAAAGTCATCTCCTGTCATCAGGGATGGATCATCACTGGGGTGAGGATGACCCCTGCCCCAATTCAGCAAGGATGGGGGTGTGGGCTGGCAGCAAGGTGCTGGTCCAAGGCACATGGAATCATAAAATCATGGAACGGTTTGGGTGGAGAGGATCTTAAACTTCACCTTGTTCCATCCTCATGCCATAGGCAGGGACATTTTCCACCATCCCAGGCTGCTTCAAGCCCCATCCAACCTGGCCTTGGGCACTGCCAGGGATCCAGGGCAGCCACAGCTGCTCTGGGCACCCTGTGCCAGGGCCTGCCCACCCTGCCAGGGAACAATTCCTGCCCAATCTCCCACCCAGCCCTGCCCTCTGGCACTGGGAGCCATTTCCTGTGTCCTGTCCCTCCAGGCCTTGTCCCCAGTCCCTCCCCAGCCCTGGGCGAAGGAAGGTGAGCATTGCCTGCTTGCTGCTGCTCTGTAAAAAGGCACCATTCACCTCCTGCTGCTGCATCTCCTCTGGGCCCAGTGGCCCTTGGGACTGGTGTCACCCCCAGCACCCCGAGCCCAGCCACTCCCCCCACTGTGAGGCCTCCTGCCAACATCATCCCTCTCCTGCTGCTCCCCCTCTGCCTTCCGCTCCTGGGGATGACAGGGAGAAGACGAAACATTTCCCTAACACAATTATATTCTAATTTTGCATCTGTGGCCATAATTTCCCTGTCAGCAATTGTAATTAAACCTTTGAGCTTCACTCTCCTGCTGCTGGTGGCTCAGCAAAGCAAGTGATGGAAGGGAGGGATGGGATGGGATGGGATGGGATGGGATGGGATGGGATGGGATGGGATGGGATGGGATGGGATGGGATGGGATGGGCCGCCTTGCTGGTTTTCCACAGGCATTCATGGCCAGGACAGTGTGGGATGAAAGCAGTGAGGTTTTTCTGCTCTGAGCTGTTTTGGTAATTTGGTCTATGTTGAAAATAGAATTTGTGTTTTACAGAATGGTTGGGGTTGGAGAGGACCTCTGGAGATCATCAGTTCAGCTCCCTGCCAAGGCAGAGTCACCCAGAGCAGGTGACACAGGAATATGTCTAGGTGAGTTTTGGAGTCTCTCTCTTTTTGGCAGAGACTTCACAGCCTCTTTGTTCAGCCTTTTCCAGGGCTCTGCCACCCTCATGGAAAGAAGTTCTTCCTCATATTGAGGTGGGACTTCTGGTGGTTTAGTTTATGGCCACTGCTCCTTGTCCTGTTGCTGGGGACCAGAACAGAGTCGCACTATCCTCTGACACCCCTTGGAGATACTTGTATGGATTGGTGAGATCCCCTCTCAGTCTTCTCTGGATTAACCAAGCCCAGCTCCCACTGTCTCTCCTCACCAAAAGAAGCTCCAGGCTTTGGGGCCTCCACTGGACCCTCTCCAGTAGCTCCTTGTCCTTCCTCTCCAGAACTGGACACAGCAGCCCAGATGTGCCTCACTAGGGCCGAGCAGAGGGGCAGGATCCCTCCCTGCCCTGCTGGCCACACTCCTCCCGATGTCCCCAGGGTCCCAGTGTCCCCCTGGCCCCAGGACACTCTGCTGGCTCAGGGACAGTTTGTCATCCCCCAGGAGCCCCAGGCCCTCCTCTGCAGAGCTGCTCCCCAGTGGGTCACCCCCAGCCTGTGCTGGCCCCTGGGGTTTGTCCTCCCCAGGTGCAGGACCCTACACTTGCCCTTGTTGAACCTCCTTAGGCTTCTCTCCACCCAGCTCTGCAGCCTGTAATTAATTAGTCTATAATTAATAATGCCTCTTTCCTGGTGGGTGGCAGCATCATGGCAAAAAGTGTGTCCCCAGGCCTGCTCGTGGGGAACCAGGAAGGCTTAAAACTCCTCTGACATCGTGGGTTTTTTTTCTTGAAGCTGAGAAGTTCCCCCTTCAGTTCACAGCATGGCCCCCTCAGTTTCCCATTTCAGGCTATTTTGGTAGGGCAGGAGGAAGCAGAGGGGATAAGGGGATGCACAAAGGGGCACCACGGGGATGTTGTGCAGACACGTCCACCCAGAGGTGACACCAGAGGGCCTCTGGTGACATTCCCCACCTGGAGGAGTCCTGGCTCAGGAGCAACCTCAGCATTCCCTGGGCACCTTGTGAGGTGGGGTAGGGCCATAAACACAGCAGGGGCAACACAGAGCCACAGAATCCTGGGACCTCCTGAGTGGGAAAGGACCCACAGAGATCATCAGAGTCCAGCTCCTGGCCCTGCACAGCCCCAAGAACTGTCAAGATTCTCCCAAGAACCCCAAGAACATCTTGAGTTCTCATTGTTTCCATCTTCTGGACCTTTGGGATGGGGATAGCAGTTTTCACCATCTTCACAATTGGTTTTACTGATAATACACAGCTGATAAATAAGAAAATAATGCTGATGTTGTGTCCAAGTGCT